TATATTACCTCTAACAAGGGAGTAGGAGCAGCAGTAACTCTATAGTAGGTATATGAACTGAGGCTCAGAAAGGTTATCTGACTGGTCTAAGATCGTGGGAAAAGTGATGGATCTAGTGACCATCCCTAGATGAGAGGAGGGGCGGGGGGGGGAAGAGAATATTTTAGGTAAAGGACTAATACAATGTAGGTAGGGATATGAGTTCAATAATTAGTAACAGTCCAGAATGGATAGAGAAGAAGATGTACAAGGAGGAATAAATGGGAGATGCCGAAATAGTGGATTCAGAAAATGTTAATGATTATTATTACTCTGATTTTACCTTCCCTGAACTGTGGCATCTGGATCTACCAAAAGACTCCTCCTTAGTCTCTTGAAGTACCCAGTTTCTGTGTGAAACAAGGCAGAAAGAGAAGAATTGTTAGTGTATCAGGGCAGAGAAATTATATACATGTGTACACACACACACACACACACACACACACACACGTGTTGAAACCACACACTCCGTGGTAGTATCAAAGGTAACATTCTATCACATAGGTTGTATTCATAGTTTATCATTGAAGAAAAGCCCAAATGTTTTTAAGAACAAAGCAGGGCAGGGTATGGGTATAGCTTAGTGGTAGAGCGCCAGCTTGGTGTGCATGAGGGCTTGAATTCAATGCCTAGTACCTCCATTAAAAAAATTTTAAAAACAAACAAGTAAATAAATAAACTTAATTACCACCCCAACCCCCCCCCCAAAAGAGAATAAAAGGGCACTATTAATAATTATCGTGGGGCCACAGGCATTAACCACAACTCACCTGGGCAAACCAGGCTATACGTGAGTGCACTATGTCACTGTAGTGACATGTATTTTACAGTTAAACGTATTGGTTTCAATGGATACTATACTTAACGTTATTAAAAAGGCAAAACAGTTCATGAACGATATATATAGAAGAGTATTTCTCCAACCCAGACCCGTCTGTCCCGTGCCAGCTTGCCCCCCATCCCAACAGGAAATAACTTTCATTAGTGTTTCATACAACAGTGCACTGTTTCTTTATGCAAAGCAAGTGACGAGGAGTATCTTCTACGCCCTCTGGAGACCATTTCATATTACGGTAGAAAGTGCCTCCCCTTTTGATAAACAGCGTCACAGTGTTCCATTATGTTTTTAATTTAACCAGTCCCCTGCTGAAGGGCTCACGGGTTGCTTCCGGCCTTGCTATTACAAACAGAACTGCAGTGAAAAACGCTACTTATACATCATATTATATACATACCTGCAAGATGAATTCCTAGAAGTCGGATTGCTGGGCACACAAAGGAATCGATAGTTTGCATAAATGTTGCTAAAATTTCCTCCAAATTAATTTTGCTATTTTGTACTCCTGCGAGCAGCCTATGAAAATGTCTGTTTCCCTGCGGTTTTTGCAACAAAGTGTGTTTTTAGACTTCTAGGTCTTTGTCCATCTGAAGGTGATAAAATCATCTCAGTGTAGTTTAAAGTTGCATGTATCTTATTCTGAGTTCTGTTGGGTATCTTTTCATGTATTTAAGTGCCTTTATTGTTTTATGAATGCCTATTTGGGGATCTTATTACTCACACTCCAGATTAAGCATCTTGAAGAAAGGGATTGTGTTGTATGAAATAGGAAGCATTTAAGAAATGCATTTCATGAATGAATCACTATTATCTCCCCTCTCCACACACTATTTAAGCTGCTTTTGGTAACACCTTTTCTAACTTTTGGATCACATTTTTTTCCTTGGAAAACCGTATTATGTATAAATATATCCATAATACAGAATATCTAGATGAATAAAATTTTAAAATCATATATAACATTATTTTAAAGCAAGTATTCATCTATTCCTTTCTAATAATTTCCTGTAACATAGGCTTTTTCCAAATGTTAATAATCATTGTATAATGTTGACACCTGAAATAATTTGTTAACACTTAACAGTTTTAATCGTCTCCTTTGCTAAATCATGAATTTCTTGATGGAGACATCAGACCTTGTTCTTTTCTTTTGCTCCATTTCTAACAAGTGTTAAGGGAGTGCATTTTACCAGTGGCAGGTAACTTGAGAGGAAAATGAACAATTTCCTTGGCTGAGCAAGGCCTGAACTGGGAATGCTGCAACTTTTATTTTCACCTTCCATGTTACTTTTCAGTCAAGCACCTCACTCCTTATTCATTTACATTGCTAAATATCTTGCATATATTTTTGCATCGATTTGAGTTTGCAGATGAGCTTCTTATAAACAGATGTTTGTGTCACACTGATTGCTTTCTAGAGGCAACACACAGCCATTATACACCCTTTAGTGCAAGCCAGGAGGAGGTACTACAACGCATGGGTGCGGTCTGTCCTGGAATCTCCCTTATAGGTTCATAAATAAGACTGCAAACCACAGGTGTGTTGGTGCTGGGACTGCGGGGAATGCAGCAGTTTTGTCGTGGTGGTTGCAACCATTTATCCTGGAGAAGGGCCAGGGGTTTCACATGAAGTGGAATCTATGCACAAGGCTGTTAAAGACTGAACAAGCAGCTGAAAAATTTTTACTTAAGGACAGATTCTTCCAATCTTGAGTTCCCATTATGTTCTAAAGTAAAACTCTCAAAACCACGTAGCACATTTTTTTTATGTTGTTAAAACAACTCCAGCTTTCATAGGAAGATTTCCCTGGCTAGTCTGAGGAGAGTTAACACTTATGTGGTCTATATGCAAATCTTTCATGATTAATGTTCTGATAGCCAATTTAATTTTGTTATTACCTTGTCCTCTGCCTCTGATTTCTAAATGTTAAACCACATTTGCATTGGCCAATGATGCAAATCTTCTATTCTCCGGCGAATTCATTCTTTCCATCTATTACTTCCATGGCCTTTATACCCATCCAGTTCATGCTTATGTATTATCCCCAGTCAAGGTCAGAATTCACAAGCTGACTGAAGACATCTATGAAGATGCTACTGATGGCAATAGAAATGACAGTGGGGATGGAAAACTGAATAAGCATTATCAAATGTCCCATATAATCATAATGGTGATGATGGTATAAATGATGACAGCAATACTGGTGGTGGTGGTGGTGGTGGTTCAGTGTTTGGCACATAGTAAATATTCAATAATAACTGAGTCAATAAATAAACGATAGTGGACATGGAGACGGTGGTGGCAATTGTCCTGGAAATAAGGAGAGTGACAGTGTTGCTGATCTTTTTAATGCTGTGGTCAGGTTAGCAGTGGGTATTTTGATGATTTATTCTTTGCAGGTCATCTAGCTCTGATTAACGGAACTGAGTGGAAGTGAAACTGAGAAGCGTCCTTGCAAGGCAATTTTTAAGAAGAGAAAACTCACTTTTGGGTGCTCAAGGAGTTATTCTACATGTGTGCATAACATCATGCAAGAGGTTGTCTCTGCCCACAGGAAGCTCTGTGGAACTTGCAGAAGTTCTGGCAATGTCCCAGAGGAGGCAATGTCCCTGAGAATTGATTCAGAGCCCAACAAGTGGAAGTGCAGAGTTGAGAAAAGTCATTTGAGAAACAGAGCTGCTCTGCTTCACCTTCCTGTACCCAACTTCCTGCCCCAGAGGAAGCCCAACTGAGAGCTAGTCGTCCCCATCAAACCCAGGGAACACACAGCAAGCATCCCCTGGGAGGCCAGCATTTCCAGGAAAATGAGATATAAGGAGGGAAGTGTCTTGGGCTACAAGGATGCTGAGAAGGATGCTACAAGTCCTGATGTCGTCGAAACAGTCAGGTAATAGGTAGGGACGGTGCAGCAGAGATGAGCTGTGAAGACGAGGACTGGGGAGGGCTTTGACCTTTCCTGTGACAGGGCTACTAGGGTATGAAAGGAAAATTTTAGAAACAGTGGTGTTGCATCCCCCACAGCCCATAAACGTTTCCTTTTCTTTTTTTTTAACATTTTTTTTATTGAGTTATAGTCATTTTACAATGTTGTGTCAAATTCCAGTGTAGAGCATAATTTTTCAGATATACATAAACATACATACATTCATTGTCACATTCTGTTTTGCTGTGAGCCCCCACAAGATCCTGTATATATTTCCCTGTGCTACACAGTACAATCTTGTTTAGCCCATAAACAGTTTCAATGATTTTTAGGAAACTATAGATTTTCTGTGTTGTGAGAGTCTTAGGAAACATCAGTTCAAACCTTTTTATTTTAGAGAAAGAGAAGTTGAGTTTATATACGGAGAAGCTGCTCAGCCCACTGTGTGTCGCCAGCTAGTGACCAGTAAGCTCACAAAGCCAAATGCCTGACTTAAATGAAGGCTTAAAAAAATACTATATAAAGCTTCTTGCTTGGGTGTTCTGACGTCATGGTGTTCCTCCTTGAGAATTCCTGGTGCCTTTCTCTTTTGGAGATTACCTTTCAAAAGAGTGACACTCAAGTAAATTGTCATCAGGCATTAGGGACCTGAGATTTCAGGAACTGTTCTCAGAGATTTTGCATTTCTTTTATTTCCCATCTATTTTTCTTTGACTCATTAGAAGAACAGACTATAAACTTTAGAGGAGGTTCCTGGCCTCAGCAGTCACTTTTAAGGGATGATTTACCTCTCTTTTCCATAGCCCGATATTGCTGGTTATTTAATCTTTGGAAAGTACAGGAAGGGTAGAGGTAGGAATTTTCCTGTCTCTCCTGTTTCCTGATGGTGGAGTAGGGAAGAAATTCAGTTGCCTGAGTCTCTGGAGCATAATATTATAACAAAGAGAAGGACTGAACTGGCATCAGGAGCCTTGGTTTCTAGTGCCAGCCCTGTCAACAACAGATCTTATGATATGGGTCCAACCATTTGTGCCTTCAGGACTGCAGTTCCTCTACTGCAAAGTGAGGAGCACTGGTTAAAGTTAAGTTCCCTTCAGGTGCTCATTTTCAGTGTTCATGGCACTAGGAACATTTTTGGAATAGAGGAAGAAATCCTGACATTGTTCATTTTCTGTCTTTATCCCTTGTTCCCAGGAATCATGGATCATGTCAATCACACGGGGACCCAGAGTTTCATCCTTGCGGGTTTCACTACCTCTGGAACCCTGCGACCTCTTGCTTTCTTGGGGACACTGTGCGTCTATCTCCTCACCCTGGCAGGCAACTTGTTCATCATTGTCCTGGTGCGGGCAGATTCGGGACTGTCCACGCCCATGTACTTCTTCATCAGTGTCCTCTCCTTCCTGGAACTCTGGTACGTCAGCACCACCGTGCCCACGCTTCTGCACACCTTGCTCCATGGGCACTTGCCCATCTCATCGGCCGTGTGCTTTGTCCAGCTCTATGTCTTCCATTCCTTGGGCATGACTGAGTGCTACCTGTTGGGTGTCATGGCGCTGGACCGCTACCTTGCCATCTGTCGCCCACTCCACTACCATGCGCTCATGAGCAGGCAGGTACGGTTACGGCTGGCAGGGGCCACTTGGGTGGCTGGCTTCTCAGCTGCACTTGTGCCACCCAGCCTCATAGCCACTCTGCCCTTCTGTTTGACAGAGGTGGCTCATTACTTTTGTGACCTGGCACCACTAATGAGATTGGTGTGTGTGGACACAAGCTGGCATCATCAGGTCCATGGGGCAGTGATTGGTGTGGCCACTGGGTGCAACTTTGTGCTCATTTTAGGACTGTATGGGGGCATCCTGAGAGCTGTGCTGAAGCTGCCCTCAGCTGCCAGCCGTGCCAAGGCCTTCTCCACCTGCTCCTCCCACGTGACTGTGGTGGCACTGTTTTATGCGTCTGCCTTCACAGTTTATGTGGGCTTCCCTGGGAGTCGCCCTGAGGGCGCAGACAAGCATGTTGCCTTAGTGTATGCCCTTCTCACTCCTTTCCTCAACCCCATCATCTATGCCCTTCGCAACAAGGAGGTGAAGGAGGCCATAAAGAGGATCAGTGTCAGGATCAGGACTATTCTGAGGGAACCCTGATCATCTCTATTGCTGTGGCCCCGGTTCTTGGTAACTAGAGGCATCAGCCAGCTGGTTAGTCAATCACCGGGCCAGAGTTCAAGTAAATGGAAAATAAATCAATCAGATCATTTGTCAATATGCTGCAGACACTCACCCAAGAAGACATAGTCCAGGATTAATCAGAGTTGGAACATGTAGAGAGAAAGGAGGTACGTCTTTGGTTCTATCCCAGTCTAATGGGGGAGAAATGTCATAAAGAAGGACAAAGACAGAGACACCATCTAAGTCTAAATGTTTTTCCTATACTTATGACTTACAGAGAAAGTACAATATTGAGAGAAAGAAGATAATCTAAAGCTGAAAGTGGGGTCTTTCGTCAAGATAAGATTCCAGGGGAAAGACTGAAAAGGTGGAAAACAAAGTTGGCAAAAAGGAGATTAAAATTATAACTTGTGCAAGTTTCAGATGTGAAGCAGGAAGCCATGGGCAGAAAGGGTATCCGGGTGAAACCCAGTGATCTGGGGTTATCACGTGATCAAAGGCAGCTCAGTGGAGGGAGGACGATTGTATCGGGCAGGAGGCTAGAAGCTGGAGATAATAAATTACTGTTTAATGTAGCAAGAACAAAGTATTGGAAATGAGGGTGCTGTCTGAGTTCTCTTCTAATATTATAGAATATACCTTAGAAGGGAGCTGGAGCCATATTAAATAAATACATAAAAAAAATAAAGAAAGAAAGAAGAACCAAGCAGCAAACTGAGTGACAAAAAGCTTTGCAAGCAGACAGGTACAAAGTAGAAAACAGACTGAGATTAAAAAGTAGAGACGGGGACCTGAAGGCGTGATCCCATCCTGTCAGCTCCCCGACCACTTCTTCTGATGAGCAAAGTTTGAGAATTACTGCTCAGATTTGAAACTTCTGTACTTTAGTAATGTGTGCACTGAAGATCTAATACCTGCCAAAGGGAGTCATTAATATTATGGGAACAGACAGGACCAGAATCTTGGCAGAGACTAGCCACCGTATGGGTTTTAAATATTCTCCATTTTTCTTTCTTATGTAAGTAACTGCTAAAAAATCAAACCAATTTTTGTGTGTGTGTGTGTATTTCTGCCCTATGCCAGAAGTGACAGCTGCTTTCAAATGTATTTTTTATTTTATTTTTTTATTTTTAGGTTTTGCCCCTTTCACTTTGCAAATGTAGTTTTTATTTGATCTTCATAATATCCCTTTGAGGGAGGAAGAATCATCTCAATGTCTACATGGTGAAATTAGGAAGATTACTGCTCTTGCTGTAAAGAAACATGGAATCAACCCCAGATCCACTCCCGTGGGCTGGGTGACCTTGGCGAGACCTCCTCAGCCTCATTCTCTCTGTCTGCCAAGTGAGAGTAAGGAGGGGAAGACTGCTCAAATACCTTCCTGCTGGGGGAGTTTTGATTCTCTGATTGCAACGCTTCGTAAAAAAGGCAGTATCTGAACTAGACCTGGATGGGTAAGATCTGAATATCCAGAGCAGAGAAGGGGAGGTATTGGTCCAAATCCCAGTTAAATACTGTTTTTGACTATGTGATCCTGGACAAAATATAAAATAACTTCTTTCTGACCTCAATTTTATCTTCCTTTAATAAAATTCTCTAACAATTCTAGAGTTTAAATGAAATGATACATGCTAAGTGTTCAATACATATTAGCCTTATAAATCCCAGAGGCAGGGCAGTGTAGCGAATTAGAACACGGATTTTGATACCTGTCTGCCTGGATTCGAGTATTAATTCTACCATTTAATTGCTGTGTGACCTTAAGTAATGTACCTAACCTTCCTGTGCCTCAGGTTCCTGATCTGTAAAATGAGGACATAGTAGAAACTTAAACACTATATAAATGTTAGTTATTACTATTTCATACATTTTCCACATACATTTCTGCAGCAGGAATGTCTTTCCTTGAGAATGCTTAGTTTCACACCTATCTCACATTTTCATTATGTGTAAAGTCAGCAGAGTTGATACTTCTCCTAGTAAAGCGCCTCCTTTTGATCCAGTGTCCACAGTCAACTTTGCCTAACCCGGGGTGTCCTCCAGTCTTTCATGAAGTCTATGGTCTTTCCCTCAGTGCAGCGCTCCATTCTGCTGGCCTGCTACGTCTATCACTTTTGAGCTCTGATCTGTTCTCTCCTCTCTTACCTACCTCATTTCACACAGACAGCTCTTTTGGCAGGAATGGTTGTGGGCACTCCCTGTGGGGGCAACCCCCCCAAAACAGCTGGAACCTGCTGGTCCTTGCAATGGCTTGGGTCACATTAATTAACAGCCTTGTGGGTCCCATCTCTGTGGGTCCCATCTCTGTGGGTCTATACTGCGTGGTGAGCTTGGGGACTTACAGTCCTGTTTGGGTGACATCACTTATTAACTAACAATAACAATTCAATGCAGCACCATTGCTTTCTGGCACAGCGCTTGGTGAATGAATAAATGAATGAATGAATTCTCAAGAGTCAAATGAGTGTGATAGAGGTTTAAATGCCCCTCTTACAACCCACCAGGGGATAATCTTAGGTTTTTCAGAGCTCCAAAATCCCCTTCCTTTCATTTTACAATCTTCCTCTCTTGCAGCCCCCTTGGGTCTCTTCCCTTTAAAATATAAAGTCTAGATCCTTAGCGCAGGGTTTCCCAATGGCTATAAATAACAGCGGTGCTGAGTAACTGACTCCCCACCCCTAACAGATGCCCTTCGAATGCTCCTATCAGTCCTGAGGGAACTGGAGTCCCTGGACTGGTTGCCTCTGCAGTAAGGGTTCACGTACTTACTTTCTGTTCATCTACTTACTTTCTGTTCACCTAAGTGTTCTCTCCAAGTATTACTGTGTTTATTATGTGCACTGATGTGAAAAAAGTGTTACAGAAGTAATGTCTTAGGCCCAAGGGAAGGTCCAATTTTGGCCACTCCAAAAACTTTGGCCCTAGTGACATCAAGATAATGACTGTGACAGGAGAGACAATGAGAACAAGCCAGGACTGAAATATCCCACAATCAGGCCATTTGCTCTGTACTGCGTTAAGGCTAACGTTCCATCACGAGGTGTTCACACAGTTTGTTGTCTCAAGTGCAAATCCATTAGGAGGTGTTGTCAATAGCTACTCTAAGACATCGGGCTTAATAAAGCAAAGTCTTCTGGGGCAAACAAAGACATATGATCACCGCACATCGCTGAATTTTTTTTTAAAGTAATTTCTTTTATTCAGCAAACAATACCCCTAAAGGACTCAAAACTCAAAGCAATCTAAAAGTATTTACATAGAGAAGTCTTGCTCCTCCAACTTCTCAACCTTTCTGCTCCTTTCTAGTCTTCACTCCACCTTGACAGGAGAACACTTTACTAGTGTTTTGCTATACAAAACCTGGCATAAGGATATTTCATAATCCCCCATTCTTAAGCATAAGGCCCCATATTGTACACTTTTTTTTTCTATCTTTGCTTTTATTTTCTTAACGAGAAATCTTGGAGATCTTTCCATTTTCTTTTAAAGAGTGCTTTCTTTTTTTCAATTGCTCCATAGTACTCCATTGTGTTTTTGATTTGACTAACCCTCTGTTGAAGGACTCTCGAGTTGCTCTAGTCTTTGACTATTAAAGACAAAGCTAGAATGAATAGCCTTGTGTGTAATCACTTCACATACGTGCATGCGCCTTCCCAGGAGTGGGGTTCCTGGGTCATGCTGCAAATGCACGTGTAATTTGGGTATTCTCAAAAAATATTTTTTCTTTAAAAATAAATAAAATCACTTATTTATCTTAAAAAAATTCTCTAAAAGGATTATGCCATTTAGTTTTCCCACCAGCGATGGATGAAAGTGTGTTTTCACATAGCATCCTCTATAAAGTATGTTTGCAAACTCTTGGGCTTTTGTAAATACGAAAATGAGAAATAGTATCTCACAGTTTTAAGTTTCAAATTTATCTCATTGTGTAGGAGATTGAAACTTTTTCTTAGACGTTTGAAAAATTTATATTTTTATATAATCGGCTAATTTGAGGGTCTGTCTCCCAAACACTACAGTAAATATTTTAAGGGAAAGGACTGTATTTTATGCATCTCATTTTCCCAGTTCCTAGTATAGTGTCCGGGCATAGAAAAATGTTTAAAAAAATGTATTAAATAAAGGAATAAATGAGTGGCCGTGTTTTCCCATATTCCTCAGACTATTTTAGCTATACTTGTTACAATTTTTCTAACCTCTAAAGCATGATTTTAAGAATGTATTACATAGAAATATAGCACAGAAAATGTTTAGATGAATAAAAATTTAAAATCACTTACAATGCTATTACTTTAAAACAGTTATTCATCTATTCACTTCTAATTTCTAACAAACACACACTTTTTTCAAATATTAGCAATGATACTGTGAATTTTTGAACACACTTTTTTTTTTCACTTAAGTTTTAAACATGTATAATTTTAGATGTTATCTTTCTCTCCAT